TTGCAGAGAATTATTTGAAGCCAGAAGTGATGGAATCTTGTGGCAAGTATTTAGAACATTCTTGGTAAAGATGTGTTGATTAATAAACATGAGCTAGAAGATGCATATTAATCTGTTTATGTATAAGAGCTTTCTAGCTCATTAAAAAGCTTCTTGGCATTTCAACTAGCAAAGCAGTAGATGAAACTAGTCATTGTCTTTTATCTTGTTGAGGACTCTCATATGAAATAAAAATCAGATTACTGCTAAATTTGTATAATTGCTGCACTGATGACAGTCTTATATGAGTATTTTACTAGATATGTAATGCAAGCACCATCTCATACTATGACATCATTTAAAATCTTTAAACAAATATTTTCCATTGGAAATTCTTTTGTTTGGATAGCATAAACAGATCTATGTTTTAGGTTCATGGCATCAGTTTGTGGTCAGTTCAGTAGAAGGACTGAAGTCATAATTTTAATTGCCTGTAACCGTGTCATTACATGTATTGCATGCCTGTTGGATTGGAATAATCTGAAAAATATCAAGATGTTTAATCACCATATGATTTGTATGCAGAAGGGTGCCATTATTTAAATCCCATGTAAAAATCCCAGCATTCAGCAATCTGTGCTGTCAGCAATATCATTAAGTGGCAAACATGTTAATACATTCCCTTCCTTCCATCTCCCTTTCCTTTCTCCTTCCCTCCCTCTTTCTCCCTTCCTCCTTTTTTCCCCTTCTATCCCTTTTCCCTTCCCTCTTTTCTCCTTCCTTCACCTTTCTCTCCCTTTTTCCTTCCTTCCTTCCTTCCTTCCTTCCTTCTCTTTTTCCTTCCTCCTTTACCTCCTGGGGGATGTTTAGCTGGGAGAAGAGAAGGTAGAGAGGACACATGAGAACCATGTTTCAAGATGTAAAAGGGTATCCCATTGAGGGAAAAACTGAATTTCTGCTGCCCTAGAGACCAGTGCACAAGGGGACAATGATTTCAAATGGCAGGGAAAGAGATTTGACTGAAAAGATTAGGAAGAACTTCCTTGAGAGTGGCATTGGCCGCCTCAAAGTGTAGTGGAGTCTCCTTCTCTGAAGGCTTTTCTGCAGAGGCTGTCTATGTGAGTGCTTTGATTGTGCCTTCTTGCAAGGCAGGGGGTTGGACTGGGGGACCCTTGGCGGTCCCTTCCACCTCTAGGACTCTTTATCAGGAGAAGAAAATATGGGGTCTAATTATTATTATTATTATTATTATTATTATTATTATCTTTATTTGTACCCCGCTAGCATCTCCCGAAGGACTCGATGCGGCTTACAAAGGCCAAGGCCTCAAACACAACATAACAATACAAAACCTAAAGCAAATTAAAAAACAATTAAAGCAATATTAAACAACAAGCAATAAACAATATATCAAGACACAATAAAACTGGGCCGGGCCAGAGTAATGGGTACACGATTAAAAGTGCTGATGTGAGAGGTGATATGTAAAGGATTATAGGGTAAGTGCAGTGTGCAGCAATCTCAATTCTAATAAAGTGCTTCTGGACTTGTTATTGGACTTTTCCTATTCTAGAAAGACACATCGGAACAGCCAAGTCTTCAAGTTCTTTCTAAAGACTGCCAATGTAGGGGCCTGTCTAAGATCTTTTGGGAGGGTGTTCCAGAGTCGGGGGGCCACCACAGAAAAGGCCCTGTCTCACGTGCCCACCAATCTCGCCTGCGACGCTGGCGGAATCACGAGCAGGGCCTCTCCAGATGAATGAAGTGAACGCGTGGGTTCATAAACGGAGATGCGGTCACGCAGGTAGGGTGGTCCCAAACCGTTTAGGGCTTTGTAGGTAAGCACCTGCACCTTAAATTGGGCTCGGAAAATAAACGGCAGCCAGTGGAGCTCCTTGAACAGAAGGGTTGACCTCTCTCTGTAAGGAGCACCAGTTAACATCCTGGCCGCTGCCCGTTGGACCAGTTGGAATTTCCGAGCCGTTTTCAAGGGCAGCCCCACGTAGAGCATTACAGTAATCCAATCTAGAGGTGACCAAGGCATGGACCACCCCGGCCAGATCAGCCTTCGCGAGGTACGGTCGCAGTTGGTGCACAAGTCTCAATTGCGCAACGGCCCTCCTGGACACCGCCGATGCCTGAGCCTCAAACGTAAGTGATGAATCCAAGAGGACCCCAAACTGCGGACCTGTGACTTCAGGGGGAGTGTAACCCCGTCCAGCACAGGTTGCCACCCTATACCCCGATCCGGTTTGCGATCAACCAGGAGGACCTCTGTCTTGTCGGGATTGATCTTCAGCTTGTTCCTCCTCATCCAGATAGACACAGCGGCCAGGCACTCGTCCAGCACCCGAGAGGCCTCCTTGGAGTTAGGTGGAAATGAGTAATAGAGTTGTGTGTCATCTGCGTAGAGATGGCACCTAACTCCAAAACTCCGGATGACCTCTCCCAGCGGTTTCATGTAGATGTTAAAAAGCATGGGAGACAGAATAGAGCCTTGCGGGACCCCACAGGTCAAAGGCCAGGGGTCCGAGCAGGCATCTCCCAGCTTCACCATCTGGGATCGTCCCTCCAGGAAGGACCGGAGCCACGACAAAACCGTGCCCCCGAGACCCATCCCAGAGAGTTGACCCAGAAGGATACCATGATCGATGGTATCGAAAGCCGCTGAGATATCCAAGAGAACCAACAGAGTCACACTCCCTCTGTCCAGCTCTCTACGGAGGTCATCCACCAAGGCTGTCTCGGTACCGTGACCAGGCCTGAAACCAGACTGTGACTGATCTAGGTAGTTGATGTCATCTAGAAAGCCCTGGAGCTGGGAGGCAACCACCTGCTCCAGCACCTTACCCAAAAAAGGGAGGTTGGCGATTGGTCTGAAATTGTTCAGCACCGTGGAGTCAAGGGAGGCCTTTTTGAGGAGTGGACGAACCACAGCTTGTTTCAGGAGAGATGGAAAATCCCCTGCTCCAATGATGCATTGATGATCAACCCAAACCAGTCAACCAACCCCTCCCTGGCCGATTTAATTAGCCAAAATGGGCAAGGGTCTAGAGCCGACGTGGTCGCCCTCACAGCCCCAAGGACCTCTTCCACGGTCTCAGGAAGAACAAGCCTAAAAGAATCCTAAAAAATTGGACAAGCAGATGCCTCAATCACCTCCTCTGGCACTGTGATGAAATTGGAGTCGAGCTCAAGGCGTATCTGAGCAACTTTGCCTGCAAAATGGTGTGCGAACTCGCAACACCGAGTTGCTGGGTCGTCGAAGGTCCCCTCCACCACAGGTGGCTGACGGAGTTCCCCGACGACCCAAAACAACTCCGATGATCTATTTGCTGCAGATGCTATAAGGGCAGTCGTGAAGGACTCTTTGGCTACCCGTATAGCCACGGTATACGCCCTAAGAGAGGCAGTAGCCCGTGCTCGGTCAGACACGTCTCGAGAACTCCTCTAAATGCGCTCTAGCCCCCTTCTCGTATGCTTCATCACAGCCAGCTCCTCGGTGAACCAGGGAGACGGCATGTCATGACGCAACGTGATGGGGCGTTCGGGAGCGATCGTATCTATCGCCCTGGTCATCTCCCTGTTATAGAGGTCGACCAAGACGTCGACAGAATCGCCAGGCTCCATGGATACACTTTTTCTCTCCCATCCACCTTCTCATCCCAACCAAGGCCTACCCTTTTGGGATCCAAACGTTTCCCATCTTTCCTTCACTTTCTACCTCCGAAAGAGAAGAGGAAAGGGCAGGGCTGGGGATTGGGGAGAACCCCTTCTTTTCTGGCCCACCCACCCCTCTCTGGCCCACCATGGGGGCCCCAAGTCTGAAAGTCTGCTCATGCCTGGTGTATTTCTACTAAAGCTGGAATTCAAGCTAGTTGCTGTTTATATTAATTAGTATGAAAGTGTTTGCTAGCCCAGTAGTTAAAGGAGGAATAGAGTGATAGTGTGAATAGTAAAGAAACCTCTCATAAACATACATTAGTGAAAGAAATTGTGATTTTTGGTACAGCATATGGCAGTGTCTGTAAACTGGACAATCTTCTGGCTGTCTGATAAAAGTCCACATTTGAGGGGGATAACAACATAAATCACTGAGTGGTTTCCTGCATCAACTGGGGATAAAGCAGGCACAACTTGTCCCTGTCCAGTTTTATCCCACTGTCTTTTAAGAGAATTATCAAAAGTGGGGTGACAATTATGAAAGCCTCTTTTTTTTCTCCCCTCAAAAATGTGTCCAAGTTTGCAGATGACACCAAATTAGGAGGGATAGCTAATGCTCCAGAAGACAGGATCAGAATTCAAAACGACTTCAACAGATTAGAAAGTTGAGCTAAAACTAACAAAATGAATTTCATTAAGGAGAAGTGTAAGATGAAATGCAAAGGTGGTTGACACCTGGCTCGACAACAGTACATGTGAAAAAGATCTTGGAGTCTTCATGGACAAGTTAAACATGAGCCAACAATGTGATGCAGCAGCTTACAAAAATCCAATAGGACTTTGCGCTGCATCAGAAGGAGTATAGTGTCTAAATCAGTGGTGGTGAACCTATGGTACACATGCCAGAGGGGGCACGCAGCACCCTCTCTCCTGGCATGCGCCTCGTTTGTTCACCTGCTTGTGCCCCCCCCCTCACCTGCTTACCTTACAGCTGCTTTTCAATTACAGTTTTGGCACTCAGTCTCTAAGAGGTTCACCACCACTGATCTAGATCAAGAGAAGTAATGGTGCTTCTCTATGGTGAGACATCACCTATGTCCAATTCTAGGCACCGCAATTCAAGAGAGATGTTGACAGGCTGGAAGTTGTCCACAGGAGGGCAACTAAAATGATTAAAGGTCTGGAGACCATGCCCTATGAGGAGTGGCTTAAAGAGTTGGGGATGTTTAGCCTGCAGAAGAGAAGGTTGGCAGGGGGTTGAACTTGATGGCCCATGTGGCGTCTTCCAACTCCATGATTCTGTGATCATACATCACTCTACAAGCACTTAGATTAAAATCATGTCTTCTTTTTTACAGATCCTGTGCGTGGTCCAAGGAAACTGGAAGTTGTAGATATCAAATCCTGGCAGATTACCATCACTTGGGAACCATTTGGCTACAATGTAACTCGTTGCCATAAGTACAACCTAACAGTCCATTATTGCTACCAAGCTGGTGGACAAGAACAAGTCAGAGAAGAAGTGAGCTGGGATACTGACAACTCGCACCCTCAGCACACCATTACTAATCTCTCCCCCTATACTAATGTCAGCATCAAACTCATTCTAATGAATCCTGAAGGAAGGAAAGAAAGCGAAGAAATTGTGGTACAGACAGATGAAGATGGTGAGTTGAAAAATTGATTTATTTTCCTGAATGCCTTTATAGTAATGTAATAAATAGGCACATTTTTAGAAGTGCAAATGTTTTAGTAGTTATTTTGAAAATAAATAAATAAATAAAACTGTATATACATATAACTATATGTAGGTATGTTTTGGAGGAATGGGAGTTAAAGTAGATGTACACTGGCAACTGGCATAGGTAAGTGATCTTAATATGATCTGCAGTAATTCACAGACATCTATTAGGGATGGGGTAGAAAGGTCTTTTTCTGATCATAGAAGGGATTAAAGCGGTCTTAGGGAAATAATTGTTGTTTTTTTAAAAAATTCCTGACAAAACTATCAGTTTCTCACATCCTATGGCACGTTGTCAGACAAAATGCACTTTCCTGCAGAAATTCATAGTAACAAGTCTTGCAGTGCTTTTAAGAGAAGTAAGATTTTCAAAGAAGTATGCATATATATTTTTAAAATGTGACTTACTAAAATGTGTAATTGAAACACACACAAGATTTAATTGGTGAGTAAAATGCATAAAGAAATGCATAATTTAGAAAACATATTTACAAATAGATATATTTCTTTGTGCAAAGGGAAAAAAGACTCATAACCTACTCTGGAACTGAGATGACATGAGAATTCTGGTCACATTCTTGGATTCTCAATAAAAACAAAACTAAGCTTGTTGTACCCCTGAGAACAGGTAGAAGTGCCCACTGAGGAAAAGCAGATGCAGGATTTTGCAGTTTACCCCTATAGTTCCCCACTTTGCATCATGTACAGTTATAGTTATTAGGGCATTTCTGGAAGAAAGATCAATTAGAAAATATTGGCATTTTTCTATGTCCCATAGAAGCATTATACATACCTATATTTGGCCTGCACCAAATATTCACCTGTTTTGTTTAAATGTTTGCAGGAGGAGTGCTTTGGATAGGGTGTTCTAATATCCTCCTCACATTACCATTGTTTTCAAGCTCTGCAGTGTCCTTTGGTTCCTTCCTCTGTTGTGCCTTCAGCAACACTGTTTCATAATTGGTGACTGCTTATACCTGGAAATAATTATGCAAATTATATGTGGGCATCAAACAGAATATCAGATGTGAATGTATCATACTACTGCAATGCTAATTCAGATTGAGAATGATACTTTTGAACCAGTATTGCTCTCACTTTGGACAAAAGCTTTACTCATTCATTTTCAAACAGTCTAGAAGAATTAGAAGATAGTCTATTTCCTCCTAATCAAAAGCTTTCTCAAATAATATCCCTTTCATTATTTGTTACAGTTCTATGTCCCTTACTCTCGCTTTGTCTCCCTGTCTATCTCTGTCTTTCCCTCATGCATATAAACTATTAATTTCAATAGATATACCTATTATGACCTCAATCTGGGGTGTGTATGAAGTGTGGGGATGTGGAATTGATCTCCGAGTCCCTATGGATACCCTTTTAATAAATCCCCTTTACAGGGCTTGAGCATCTGCATTGTTTTGAATTTTGGGGTGTCTTGGCACTGATCCTATGTGGACATAGTGAAGGCATGGACAAACTCTGGCCCTCCAGGTGTTTTGGACTTCAACACCCACAATTCCTAACAGCTGGTAGGAGTTGAAGTCCAAAATACCTCGAGGGCCGGAGTTTGCCCATGCCTAATATAGAGGGCTGGCTGTACATATTAAATGAGAAGAAGTGTTCAATTATATATCTCATGTAGATATTCTCTTCTCAAACTAATAGTTGCTCCTGATTGCTGTAGCTATAGCTGAAAATTTCTGTCTCATATACTGCTTTAATTATTTGGTTATGAACCAGAGAGGTGATTTCCAAGCCTGCTGATAATCCACATGGTTTTTACCAGTGTGATTAAGGCAAACCAGTGACTTTTAAGTGTACATTTTCTCTTCTTATTGATAGCCCATAACTGCTTTTAAATCTCCTAAACAAACCCTACACAGTCTATACTGCAGAAGGGATTAATGTCATATTTTCCTATTATTAGCAATAGAACTTGAAAAAAACATTTCAGATATATATTTGTTGTTGTTCATTCGTTCAGTCGCCTCCGACTCTTCATGACCTCATGGACCAGTCCACGCCAGAGCTCCCTGTCAGCCGTCACCACCCCCAGCTCCTTCAAGGTCAGTCCAGTCACTTCAAGGATGCCATCCATCCATCTTGCCCTTGGTCGGCCCCTCTTCCTTTTACCTTCTACTTTCCCCAGCATAATTGTCTTCTCTAGGCTTTGCTGTCTCCTCATGATGTGGCCAAAGTACTTCAATTTTGTCTCTAGTATCCTTCCCTCCAATGAGCAGTCAGGCTTTATTTCCTGGAGGATGGACTGGTTGGATCTTCTCGCAGTCCAAGGCACTCTCAGAACTTTGCTCCAGCACAGATATATATTATACTTCGTTTAAAAGCCTGTGTTTGTATTTATTAGTTCCAGGAGCCGTACCTCTGGAATCTATCCAAGGAAGTACATTTGAGGAGAAGATTTTCCTTCAGTGGAAGGAGCCAGTCCAGACATATGGTGTGATCACAGTATATGAGGTATATAATAGCATTTTCTTTCCCTACCATCTTGATAAAAAATCGTAAGACTAAAAGGATTTAATGAAATATTTTTTGCTGTTTATCTGATGACACACTATTTATTGTTGCATAATTCAACACTGAAGTACATCCTTATTATTTGAGCATTTTGCTAGCCTTCTGAGAAGCACTATTTGGGTCTAACACAAATATGTTTTTACTTACAAGTACTGATTGTTAAAGTTTGGCTACCTCTCATCAGTAAGAGTGTACATTTTATTTATATCATTCTTTTTTTTTCAACCTAAAAGAATCCACACAAAAATTTGCACTTTTGCATGAAGTACACAGTTTTATACCCCAAAATGTGTGTGGAGGTGATTCAACCACAAGATGCATATACCAAGGGAGGAAGTCTCCAGAAGATTTCAACTTAGGAAAGCAGCAGCACCCAACCATTGGAATGCATTTAGTACAAGTCATCTTTCTGTTCATTACCTTTCAACGCTAGAGGTCTAATTAGGGTTTGGGTTTTAGCTTGCAGGTCATATATCCTTTCTTTCTTCTTCAGTTCGAGAATATTGTTTCCCATGCACACAATATGTAACATAAAAACCTTACTTTAACATTTGATCATTCTGTTGTCAAGATAAGTTGTATCCACTTTTGTTAAGCGTGTATTAGGAACTGCACCGAGTCCCTTCGGGGAGAGGGGCAGGATACAAATAAAGCTTACTATTATTAATATTGTTCTGCCTAGTTATGTAGTTGAATATTTCAATGCTTCCAGATCCACACAGGTGCAAAAAGGGGAAAGACAATATAATACTGAATACTGTCAGATTTCTGAAACATCTATTTTATAACAAACAGGTGCTATCAAAGAAAATAACCTTTGGTTCCTTCCTTCCTTGGAATTCAACAAAATTACATGTGTTTGTTTGATAAGAACCAATGTTCGTTGTATACAGAACCTCTGCCCTATAGAGGTTTCTAAAATACTGACAAAGGACTATGTGTATTATGCTGGCAGCCCATAATCATTTTTAAACCTCTTGCCTGACCAAATTGCCCTTAAGTTTTTCTTTCAATTGCCGAACATGTTGTCAAAATGCTATGAAAAATACATGTGCCCCAAAATATAATAGGAAAGAAAATATCTAATTTTGTATTACTAAGTTTTCAGTGCTATTTAGCTTAATGAGAAAAGATAGTATGCTACAAAAAAGAGTATGTTCTGGAAATTTGTTAAAATAGTTATAGTCACCTTAGTAATCAAAAAGTGGGTTGTTCATGTGATATGTTTTTATATTGAAGACATGTAGGTCCATGATCTTTCAAAAATGAGTGGGAGGCAGCACCAGATCTATAATTGTAGAGTATTATAAAAGAAGAATTGCCCCTGAAGAAGGCTTTTGTACCTTAAACATGTTTGGTAAATTTTAGTAAACTGTTTCCTAGCCGCCTCTCTCTGCTTTCTTCCACTTTTGGTGCCAATTTCCAAGTTTTTTAATCTTTATCTGCTGCTTGCTACCTAGTGTGAATCTGCTGGATCAGTGCTGCAGTCTTCAAATCAGCCCATATTTGTTTACATTTTGATGCAAGTGCTAAAAGCTGGCAGGATGCATTCCCAGAGTTACCATGAGACCACAAAATCACATATAATAGCAAACTTGATTTAAATGAACAATTTCACATGGAGGAATACTACAGAATCATGCTGGAGAAAATGTATAGAGAGATCAAATCTTTAGCATTTCTAGATCCTCCAGAGTGACTCTGTGGTGAAGTTCCAGCGGAAACATGCCATAAGATTGCACTAGAGAACGTAGAGAGAACATCTCATAATTGTGACAGGTCACACATGGAATTCTGTTTGTAGTTTAGTTATACAAAGTAGCATGGTATCCTACATGACAGATTCCCATAAAGATGCTACTTACAACAGCATTTTACTACCTGTTGCAACATACTGTTTATCTTAGTGCATTTGCTGAGTTATAACATTATCTATGTTTGCAAATAAAGTACAATGGAGTTAACCTATCATGTAACATTTTGATGTCATCTGAAATGGACTATTGTACTGACACATCTAAACATCATGATGTTGCATTGCACTATTCACATGTTACCCATGCATTTCCTAGCATAGTGTGGCAGGTCTTAGAAATCAAGCGCTAAGAGAGTGAGATGCATGAGTAAGCAGGGCCTCATTAGGCAGGAACACTAAAACAATGTCAGAACAAATATAATGTGTCTGCCAGTTGAACTGTATGTCACAACATTATTCACCACAATTCAGAGACTTTCTGAAGAACCATTGCCACATCTGCTTAAGCCATTGGACTACACAGTGTTTCAAATGTCGGAGTCCTTTAGGTGACACCCATTGCCACATTTAAGTGAAATATTGTCCATTGTCTCTTAAAACTTGCCTTCTATTCTGAATTAAACTTTCAGCTTACCGTTAACCTTTTATAATTTCTAAGGTCAAAACAGAGAGCTTCTGAAAATTGTAAGCTTACCCTGGGTCACTGCTACATTGAAGTTAATTTAACCTGTAGTTGATCTGTGCAGAATTGGTTTTGGCTTTACTGGAAGTTTTGTTTGTGAGTCTCACTCTGTAGTGCTTTGAAGACATTAATGTTCTCACTGCACCATAGCAAATTACAGAGCTCTGGACATAGATTTCCAAAGTAATTCACATCTTCACCAAAAGTGTCTTCCTTTAACATAATTTATCCTCACTTGGTATTATAGGTGTTGGTTTGTATAGTACTTTGCACAGTTTTGTTAAATATGTATTACATTTACATACACAGTACAGCTAGCATCTGCAGTTTCATTTATTCATGTCCTCCAGCACAACTCTATAGGATTCTTGGGCAAAGAGTCTTTCATTTCTACAGGATTCACTATTATCTGCAATTTCATATATCTATACAAAGACTGGGAATGTCTTCCCTGTGGATACGGGTTTCATATTGTAATTATTGCTGATTTCTATTACAGCTAACTTGCACCCATAATGACACCCATAAGCTAGTCAGCTTTTGTATAGTAGGTTTGGCACCACTCTTAACACAGAGCTGAAAAAACGGATGGTGACAAACTCGTAAATTACAATTTCCTAAAAAAATAGTATGCTGGTTTTATAAGAATTTGCTTGCTTTGACATTTTTATATTGTAATATATGACTGAATGAAAATAATATTGAAATTAGAAATTAAATTTGTGAAAAAATCTTTATGTGCCACAAATTCAGCACCCAGATATACAGTAAAAACAGCTACAGTAATGAAAAGCATTTTTTCATTGTAGGCCTGTGAATTTGAAGTTTACATTCAGAAATTAAGATCCTGTAAATTCTGAGGGGAATGGGTTTTAAAGGCCATTTTTATAGTATTTTAATTTTGTTTTTACCACACTGTTACTATTTAATTTCTTTTTAGCTTGTTTGCAAACTTGTCTGGTGTGGTTTGTTAGCTGCCTTGAGTCCCCATGGGGAGAAAGGTGGGGTATAAATAAAGATAACAACTGCAACAATTTAAATATATTCAAGTATATTACTGCAGGATATAATTTCTGACCCATTAAATTGTTTAAATTCCGCTGACACTATTCACAAATCATGTGCTGTTTATGTTCAGCAGTAGCCCAGCTGAGATCTTAAGATATTTGATCAAGCAAACACAGTTCAGACTAGAAATGAATCATTTGTTTACATTCTCCCTCTTTAGTTCTTATATTCCCTTTCACTTGGTACGTCCAACTTTAGGGAAGATAGCTTACTTGGTTACACTATACTTTCCCGTGATGCTAAGAACTGGCAAACAGATTTAAGAGTTACTTCCAAAATAAGATGTTAAACTGTTTTAATTGTTTGAGTTTTTAAAAAAGTAATGAAACTATTAAGTATTGGAAAGCTACTATATCTGCATTTACTTAAATAAACTAAGCATTTCCCTAGCTGAATCTAAAACAGGGAAAATGAGCCAGTTTTACCTTGTTCTCAAGCTTGGCGTAGATTTCCCAATTTAGTTTGAAATTAAATCTTTTACATGCCTGAAGGCTTTGAAGCGATTTTTCAAAAGCTCCATTCTTTTGAGGAAGAACTGGTGTTATCTTTTCTATTTTCCTATGTGCTTTGCATACAGCATTGGTATTGGAGAAAGATGCAGTGTTGCAGTGGTAGGACTAGCATATCAGGAGACCCAGTGGTATCTACACAGCAGCCAGGAAGGGCCAGCAACATTTTCCCCATTTGCACTCAGTATCAGAAACTCTGCTTGCCTTTAAATATCCTTTTGAGTAGTGTGGTGGTGGGGTTCTGCTGAATTACAGACAAGTATAATCTCATATCTACATTCGTAGTAATAAGATCCATTCAACTTGGTGAGATTTGGGAGCATGCATGCATAGTATTGTGTTGTTAAGGCTGTGTTTCTGTACACACTTGGGAAAGGGCCATCCCCGTTTAGGGAAATTAGAGAGGGTGAAGGCAACACCTGTGAGGGCTGAGGGTGTCACCCAGTCCAGCAGAAGTGCAGTTTCACGGTGGGGTCAGAATAACAGAAAGTGTAATTGGTTATGCAAATACGTGCATGCATAGCAGGAATTAAGGAGAACCTGAAGCTTCCGCATTTGATTGTTGTACATAAAACAATATGGTGAACACCTGCACCCAGTCAGAAATGATCTTCTGACATTCCTTGCATAGACAGGAAAGATCGACCATGATCAGAGTGAGCCTTTTTGTTCTGAAACCTATCAAGAAGAGAGCACATTTCCTGAAAGAAGAACCAGGAAAATCTGACTGTAAATAGAAGGTCAGCCGCTGTCCTCTCCTTTTTGCCTAGTCTTTTATTCATGTTGGATTTTGAAATGGTCATATGACTGGTCAGATAAATAAATTATTATTACCTGTATCCAGTAGAAACACTTATTGGTGTGCCTACATGAGGGAGGCCCCACCTGGCTTTCCAAATTGATTTTAGTTTAGAAAAAAACAAGTATGTGTGGCAACAAAGGGTTCAAACTGGGACATAATTTAGTTGGGATACAGCCCTCATACAGATTCAGCCTAATGAATTTATCAGCCAATGCTGAATAAGATTCATTTTCTTAACTTGGTTTACAGGGAACTTCTATAACTGGGTTTCCAATTATAGGAAGACCTTACAGTGTCTCATTTAAGCCAAGTTATTAAAACAGGATCTGGCATTGGATTTATCTGTTTAGTTAACATGCATTCTACTTTCTAATGCAGAATAGTTTTCAAGAAAGCAAAATAGGATTTAGTACCTTAAATGGCTCTTATATCTAAAAGAGACTCAGACCTATGATAACTCCCTTAATGTTCAGATTAAAACCTGGATGGAATTCAATATTCTACTAACATAGGAACTACACCAGTTAGGAAAATTTGCAAAGGATGAAGGGAGGAGTAGTTAGAGATAATGAAAACATAACACTGTTTACTACACCATGATGTATTTGTTTTTACATCTAAATTGTGTTAGCAACTGGTTGAAATTATTTTTTTTGCGTTAGCTTAATAACTATGACAATACAAAAGGCAGAGTAAAATAGATGAATTTTGTAGTAAAATGCACATAGATATCCAGCATGTTGAATTTTGAGGAGAAATTAGGCAGGCAAATCCAGAATCTTTTTGTTGTGGACTGCTCTTCTGATTCTGAGGGAGAATGAGGAGGAGGAAGAAGAAGAGGAGGAAGCGGCGACAGACATATCACAAATCCCCACGTTTCCGGAACGACAAAGGGAGAAAGAAGTCAGGAGATCAGCTAGGTTAGCAGTGAAAACGCTGAACAATCAGACTGTATCCTAGAGACAGCTGTGCTTGGAAGTTCAGGGCTATAAATTAGCAGCAAAGTCATGGGTCCAGTGCTAACAGCAACTGACCTGCTTCAGGGGGAGTTCCTGTTTCAAGCACTGTGTCTCCGTTCCAGTGTCGATCTTTGCTGAAGGCTCTTGGCTATTGACTTTTGTTTTTGCAACCTGTAAGCCTGTTTGTCAAGGACCCTAGTTTCTGTCTGATGTTTTACGTTTGCTTGAAGACTGTGCATAACAGTTGGGACTGTACTTTCTGCTTCACTTATTGCATTATCTTTATTTTGGCTGAAGTAAAGACTTTTTATTTACTTTCACTTGTGACTAAGGCAGTTTCTGGCACAAAAAATGGACACTTTTGGTAGAAAGCCATTGCCTATACACATCAAGAGAGATAAAACTTTCAACCCGTGATATATATTGTAACATGTGGTTTGGAGCTTATTTAGCGCAGCCTGGTTTTGATGTTATCATGTGTTTTGATTTATAAAAATGAAATATCAAAAATTCATCTCACATGTTTTTGGATAATTATAGATCTAGGTGTGACACTATCATTATTATTTTATTTATTTATTTTGTGTCATCACTGTACGATGTGCTTTATAAGACTAAGAACAAGAAATGGAATTTCATGCCCTCAGGCTTTCAATGTAAATATGGGACACACAAGTAAAGGAGATGGCAGTGGAGATTAGATTAAGCTTCTTCGTCTTCTCTCCATGACCAGGCCAATGGTAGTTGGACTTAATCCTCCCTCCCTCCCTGCTGTCCCCTTTCTGTGTGTTTCATATTTTCAGATTGTAAGCCTTACAGGTGGGAATTGTTCCTTGGCCCAGCCATGATGGAGCTCTGCTTGCTTTTCTTGCTTCTTTATCTGCCTTTGGATGCCATAGCATTGGCAGTTGAAATGGATGGAGGACCATTCATCTGCTTATGGACCTAAGTGTGGTGGAAGCATGCCCAAGTCTACTTCTCCCCCTCTGAGGCTAGACATATGATAAAGGAACAGCATCTGTGTATGAGGATTATAGCATAAAATCGTTAAGTAAAACATGAGTGTTGCCATTTTATTCTATAGCCAACTATTTCAGTATGGGACAAACATCTCAAAATTGCCCAGCTCTTCAGTTCTTCTAGACAAAACTCTTTTCATATGCATTAGGCCATATTTTTCTTAAAGCATATGTCTTTACATGTTTTGAAGGAATTAATGTAAATGTAACTTTGTCATCGACGTATGTAATCATTTTAGTATAAAATCCAGTTATAGAGCACTCTAAAATATAAACATGGGCTTGCCATTCTTAAATCTGTTTTCTTTATTGTTTTTTTATTCTTCGTGCAAAACTAATAGCAGTGCAGTACCCCTGCCTAAAAGTTACAAGATAAAAACCTAGCAATGGAAACGTATTAGATTAAGTCTGAACTGTAGCCTTTACACTCATAATCTAGGTGCCTTTAAGCCCCTATATCTATAAAAGTAATAACTCATAACAGCATTGTCTGTGTCCTTTCATTGGATTCTGGAATTGAAGCATATAAGGAAGCAAGATAACTTATCATAAAATGTCTGACAGTGCACACATCACAAGGGTTTACTGGCTAAAAATGCAATCTTTTCCCGGCTGCTGAAGGTATTTTATAACTTTGTGTTTTTTTTTGTAGATCACCTACAAAGCTGTCAGCTCCTTTGACCCAGAAGCAGATTTATCTAACCAAAGTGGACGTGTTCCAAAACATGGGAATGAAACACACAATTTATTTTTTGGATTGTATCCTGGGACCACTTACTCCTTCACTATCAGAGCCAGTACAGCAAAGGGGTTTGGGCCACCTGTTACAAGTCAATTCACTACAAAGATATCAGGTATTATTTGAAATTAAATAAAAAATGTTCTGTTCCATCAACTATTGTATTTTTACAGCATACCTATAATTTTATAACTTTATCTAATACATTTGGAACATGACAGAAAAAACTGGGATAAATAAAATGTTTATGGATTTCCAAAACAAATTAAGAAATAATGTATTTTGGAAATCTGGGATATCCTGGCCTTTGCTATTGGTCTTTCTTAAGGAATTAGTTTTTAGATGGCTAAATTTAGCATCTTTGTCTCAGATTTATGGAATCAATAGTTTTAGTAGATAATATTATTTGACCTCAACATTAATATTTAAGAGAACATTTGTGTTACCATCGCTTAGTTTAAGAAGTTCCCTGGCCACCTCATGCAATCATAAAACAATGCCCAATAAAAAGAAATCATGTGATAACAATATAAATGCCACAGAAGAGCACCAAAATGCTGAAAGCCATAAACCAACAAAAAGATGAGGGCAAGCAAAAAGGTATATTCTTGAAAACAGAAAAATGTTGGGCTTTTCCAAAATGTTATAAGTACCAAAATGTTGAAAGTCTTAAAACCAACAAAAAATGAGAACAGGTCAAAAGTTATTTACCTGAAAGCAGAAAAATGTTGGTTTCTTCCAAAATGTTATGAACAGATGTGCTCTCATCTTTCACTGCCCAACTATCTTGCGACATTGGAAGTACGCTGAAAGAGTTGGAGGCTAGCCGTTGATGACTGTGTAAGAATTTAGGAAGGCCTATAGAGAAGAAGAGAGACTAGATATAAAGTCCTTTGCTGTTTAGCTCCAGGCCTATTGATTCTACTCAGATAAAAGCTTGCACTTGGTGTAGCTGCCACTTGGTGCCACATGCTCCTGATGGTCTTCTTTATTCTGAACCTAAAATACATTGTTTTAAGTCTTATTTTATTTATTTATTTATTTATTTACAAGATTTCTACCCCACCTTTCTCCAACCCAGAAGGGACTCAAGACGGCTTACACTTAGGCATCTATTCGATGACTTTACTGATCTATTTGATGTATACACTCATTTGCTCTTACAATTGGACTTAAGTGACTTAATGTCTTCAAACGCCTTGAAATATAAACCATTGTTTTTCATTGCAACAGTCTAATTTCCATAATCATGATAAGGAATGCTCACTGTTGGGGTGAACTAGCTTTAGTTTGCTGTTGTGTACATGTATTTGTGTGTTGAGATAGATGCACATACTTTGCATGTGCTGTGTAATAAAATATATACTATCTGGAGCCACTTACATACTTCTGTATTATAGAAGTTTGGAATCTGCAGCAGTAAAATCAGTAATTTCTTCTATCAGTTGCACAACATGTGCTTCCTGGAAAGAAGGGTGTAACTTTCCATTTCTCCCCTGCTTTAATGTAAAATATATATTTAGGTGAATACAAGAAAGGTATGTGGAAAAGTGCCAGGTTGCACATACAGGCAGTCCCCGAGTTACAAACATCTAACTTACAAAGACCCATAGCTAAGAACAGGAGTGAAACAACAGGAAGGGAGAGAAATGAAAGGAAATTCACTCGTGAAAGAGTTATCATGGGGAGAAAAGGGGTCTCCACTGAAGCTTTATCACAAATCCTTGTTTCCACAACAAGCCAAATTTTTCAAAATCCAATTATCATAGGGACAGAAATTGAGGTGAAATCTTCTTAACGGGTACAGACAGCAAAGCACACACCACAGAGGTGTTAACCCTTCCCTATGCTATCCAAAGCTGATAGATAGATAGATAGATAGATAGATAGATAGATAGATAGATAGATAGATAGATAGATAGGCTGCCCTGAATCTCCTCCTGGGGATGAGAAGGGCAGGATACAAATGTACAAAAAATAAATTATATAATTGGCTGGAGTTACACTTTAAAAATGAACAAACCTAAAAAACCAATCTTGTTTGTAACTTTGTAACTTTCACTTTTTTCAGTGAAATCGGGGGTTCAGTTATTACGCAAGCGGAAAAAAAACAGGCTTTTTTTGTACCAAAACAATAACTTTTTAATTAAACATATTGAAAACAACTTGAGAGTACAAGAGTGGCCAGAAAAAACAAATTGACATGTTTACACATTTTAATCTTGCTTGTCAACAGACTCCACACAACTTTTAGCAAGGGCATATCACTTGCTCACCCACCCATCCATTTAAAGACCCACCTGCCCTTGCTTCACTCACCCACCCACCCACTTACTCACATGGCCATCCATCCTTGGAAGTGCCATTCATTTAAGGGGGTGGCTGAGCAGATGGTCAGGCATGTGAGTGGCTGGTCGGCTCATGAGCATGTGAGTGAGTGAGTGAAGTTGTGGGTCAGTGGATGAGTGGATAGGTGAGCAAATGAGTGTGGGTAAAGCAGATGAGCACAGGGTAGCCAGACACATGGAATACTAGACTGTTTACATTGTAGTAAGCCAAAGGTGTGACTATTATACAAGGGATTTTAAAATACCAAAATTGGGACCCAAAGAAGGACTGTGTGACTATTGTGCAATTGTGCCTTTTATGTGATGAAATATTATAGGTCTTCTCCCCTTTTCTCTACTTGAATATGCATTCGATATAATTGGCCTTTCATTCTTTACTACCAGCCGAGGTAATGATGTAGTCATTCATGGTGTCATTTCTGTCCATTTATCCCAAGAGTTGGCAACTGTGCAAACCTAGAAAGCCACATTATGCTTAAAGGGCCAAATTCCCTCTGTACTTGTTTCAAATAAATAAATAAATGGTGCTCCAAGCACCATTTAGGGCCATTGTTTGTTCTTACCCGGGGAAGGAACTCAGGTGTTGTCCAACTATGATAGGAATGCCCTTCACAATCCTGGTCATATATGGCTACCATTACTTTATACATGCAAATATTGAATACATTTATGTACTTTAAAAGACTGGGGCTCAAACTTAACATCCAACAGTCTGAGTAAAAATTCCTTCTGTAGATGGTGCTAATGACTTAGAGAGGAAAGTTGTCATTCTGTGGAGGTAGAACTGACCTTAGGGTCAAGAAAAAACAATAATTCATGTGATAACTGACTATGAATGATTCGCTATACAGTGAATTGATAACTTCAGTTCAACTAGAGCTAATGTTATGCATGAACTCATTCTAAGTGTTTAATTGGCAGAATGGCATCCAAAAGGAGGTGTGTATGAACTCAAGAGCTTACCTCGTTATTGATCGGCTCCTTTTATTGTCTAGTAATTTCAACTGTTTTCACTTATTATCTGCATGCACAAGGCTCTGATTTATAATGCCATTTCTTTGCCATTTCAAGATTTTAGAAGTTTCTATGATTGAAGGAAAGCTGCAAATTAAACTAGTCTTCTTCTTCCGTTCTTGTTTTTCTAGCACCTTCCATGCCACCCTATGAACTGGAAACACCTTTAAATCAAACTGACAGCACGGTGACAGTTCTGTTGAAACCTGCACAGAGCAGAGGAGCTCCAGTCAGGTATGGTGGTGTTGGGGAAGCTTTACAAGATTAAAACAAAATCGATTAATTTCTTGACAATGTTTTCTGGGGATTCTTTTCTAACTCAGCAATCAGTGTTTAAATCCATGTTTGCATTATCTCTAATTAAATTAAATAACAGACAAGAAAGGAAGTCCTTTGATGTGGAGTGTTCAGGTATTGTGTAGAGGATTTCAAAGCTTAGTCTTTGAAAATAAAGAACAAAGCTGCTGTGCTGTTATGTGGGTGGCTTCTTTATTTCTGTAAGGTAATTGCTTACTGCAGTGTTATGAGTTCAAGGGCGCATCATTATTTTTATCCTCTACTACAGTGTTTTCAGTAACCACTCTCCCTCTTTTTCCACCTGTGGGTTTAATCACCATTATTTCATGTAATCGACTGAGACAAGTTGGGACATTTAAAAACCAAAATATGTCAGGATCAAAATGGAATGGAAAAAAGAACGTAGGTAGGCAGCAATAAGAAATGCTTCCCAATTGATATTTTTTAGGACCTTGTTCTGGGAAGTTATGGTGTGTGGTGGCTAAGAAGCGGAGTAACGAATCAAGACGATCCCAGTCTCAGTTCATTTACTGTGAATTTATTAGGAGTTCTTAGACATATCAAATTCTTCAACAGTAATCTGCAACAGAGGGATAATACTGTCCCGTGTTCAGAGTATTCTTGTTGCAATAAAATACATTATGGTAACCACTTGCAATTTTTAAAAAGGTAGTACCTCATCCTCCTTATTCCTTATTCTTTAGAGATAAATGCCATTTTCTTTTTCAGAACTAAGCAAGTTTAAATGCAAGAGGGTTTGTATATCTTTCGGGGGGGGGGGGGGAAATGAAATAGGTAACTGCTTGTTTCTGGAACAGATGTGTCCTTGTGTTTGAGCTGTAAGAGCTAAAACATTGGATGTATTCAGCTTTAAAACCCAGGTAGAATGATCAGGTGATATTGTAGTAGTCGTGTAGATAATTTTAGCAATAAGAAGGAAATATCAGTACAGAAATACTCTGTGTCATCACAGTATACTCTGTGTGCTATTTATTTATTTACTTCATTTATATACTGCTTTTCTCACCCCTGGGGAGACTCAAAGTGGTTTCCAACATACTGCAAAATTCAATGCCTTACGAAACATAAAAATCTAACATAAAACAACAGTCACATAAAACAATCAATTAAATCATAAAATTAAATACATTTAAACATTAAAACAAGGGATTAAAAACATATGTATTTATTTATTATTAACTTTATTTATACCCCGCTAACATCTCCCAAAGGACTCGGTGCAGCTTACAAAGGCCAATATTGTTTATATTAATATAAACAATAAGATCACATGATCCAAAAGCACGGCCCAGGCCGTTCCAGTATGAAAAACAATTGTACATAATCTGTGTTCATTTCTTGTCCTGCTTACTGTCCAAATGCTTGGTTCCACAGCCATGCTTTTGCTTTTTCCTGAAGGCCAAGATGGATGGTGCTGATCTAATTTCATTGGGGAGAGTGTTCCATAGACCAGGGGCCACCACTGAGAATTAGCAGCCAGTGTGTAAATACCCTAAAGGCAACAGATTGCATATGATCTTGCAAGCTAAGAAAGGTCAGCACTGGTTAGTTAGGTTAGTTAGTACTTGGTCAATCAATATCAAGGCTATATTTCATATTAAGAAGATGGAAAAACCACCTTTGTGTATTCCTTACCTAAGAAAATGCCAGACTAAATGTAGTATTCAGTCACATGCACGGCATGTATTTACTTATTTACATATTCTCTCTTTCTATCCTACTTTTCAGCCAGTATGGGAACAGCTTACCATGTAGATTTAAAAAAAACCCCACACAGACAAAGAATAACCCGTAGGGATGGGAAGAGTACGTCCCATTGACTACACCCCCCCCCATATACCATTGTGTGACCACATGCAAAAAACAAAAAGAAGTCCAAAAAGGGGGCTTAAATCTACCCACAGCCAAGAAAATAAAAATAAAATAAATTGTGGGTTACTTATTGAATTTTTTAAAATAATTTTATTAATATACATTAACTGCTTAGAGTGTAACAGAACACAACACAGTGAATATTTTACAAACACATAACCCTATCACCAAGACCTGAACAAGTATCCTTTCTTTTGCCATATAATTATAAATCAGCCATTAATCAAATGTCATATCCAAAATTCCTAACCAACAAGGTTATATTGTTTTCCATTTTCACTGTCTAAAGCATATTTAATAAAAACCGACCAGTATGCATCAAACTCCGATCTGTTAGTTTCCCCCCTGAACACCCTCATTTCCATTGATAGTTTATCATTTAAGGCTACATTCCATACCTCCCCATACCATGCTTCCAGTGTGAGATTAGTTACTATTTTGCAATTCCTTGCAATTATAATTTTTGCCACTGTGATTAAAATCATCTCCAGTTCTTTCTTTTCCATTTCTAAATTCAACTTTGTGGCGTCCATTAGTCCATTCGATAAATACATCGTTCCAAAAACTCTTCAATTGTGGGCATTCCCACCATAAATGAAAATATATCTCTTTGTGCATGCCACATCTCCAGCACAGGTTGCTTTGCTTACTACTATTGAAACATTGTTGGGTACGTTTCTATTCAAGAGATGGGGTTTTCTCAAGACTTAATGTAGCCTGTGGAGTGTCTGCATACTGTAGACCCTTCAAAGTTGTCTACATGAAGAAAACATGAAACTTAGATACATATTAGTCTCTCCTACACTTTTTATTTTTGACAATTCAGCTTCAGAAGCAGCATACTAAAGCAGGGAACTGGCACAGTAACAGGGCAGGGGGTAGCGTTCTCCAACTCTGATGTGTTTTCTTGTTGCTACAATCCCCCCCTCCCCCCCCCCACACACACAATAGTACATGAAACTGCAATGAAAATTATGTGTAAGACTAGCCCTCAGGCAAAGAAAGATTCCTTAGCACATTCTGTTCAGCAATAATAATGACCTACCCTACGGAGTAGTTATAAGAATAAATACAAAAACATTCCTTTCATTATCCTAAAGGCATGACACATTCTGTATTATGTTGTCAAATAGTGAGCCTCAGTGATACTTCATGCTGGAAACTTGGTTTACTCAAGTCTCATTTAAATGAACAGGAAAAGGACAAGAATCCCGTGTCTGTGCTCTTTCTTAGAGGATGAGAAGTTCCCAGTACATGGTTTCCTTAATCTGTATTCATTGCGGAGCAGAAAAGTGTAGCTGCACTTTATTTATGCACTTCACTAAGTGCAATGGCTGTCTATTGATTCTGCTGTAACCACCCAGCATGGTTAATGCAGAGTCTTGGAACTGTGCTAAACTTTTCAGTGTAAATGATTGTTGTCATTTTATTGATCAACACATCAGCTCTGTCACATAAAAATCTTTAATTTCTCTGATGGATGGAGGGAGAAAGGGAGAGGAAAGTAAGCACAAATTCTAGCACATTACAGTCTAGGTTTCCTTGTTTACAGCTTTACTAACTTTTCTCTTTACACCTGGGGAAAATTTAAAGTCAGAGCTCTATTTTAACCTTGTTTGGAAGCTGTCCTTTACCATCACACTTGCAACATATCCAAGAAATTTTGTTTTAACAGTACAAATTGTTTAAATGTTGGTAAATTTATAGAAGCCATCTGGACCCAACCGCTACTAGTTAATACAAAGTGAACATAAATCTCAAAAAACTGTCAGGTTCAGGAAGTATAGTTTCAATTATTATTGCGGTGTGTAGACACCTAAATAAAGTAGCGAAATAAGCTGCACATACATGTTTGCAAAGCATATGAGTTAAAACAGACAAGTACTTGCCTCCAGTAGCCCTTTCTCATCATCCTTCATTCATGTAGAGGATGATATACAGTGGGGGGGGGGAGTATTTAGTCAGATACCAATTGTACAAGTTCTCCCACTTAAAAAGATGACAGACATAATGTAATTGACATCATAAGTAGACATCAGCTATGAGAGACAACATGATAAAACACATTCAGAAAATCACATTGTTTAATATTTAACAAATTTATTTGCAAATTATGGTGGAAAATAAATATTTGGTCCATAACAAAAGTTCATCTCAGTACTTTGTTATATATCTTTTATTGGCAATGACAGGGGTCAAGCATTTTGTGTAAGTCCTCACAAGGTTGGCACACACTGTTGCTGTTATGTTGGCTCATTTCTCCATGCGGATCTTCTCAAGAGCAGTGATGTTTTGGGGCTGTCGCTGGGCAACACGGACTCCCTCCAAACATTTTCTATAGGGTTGAGATCTGGAGACTGGTTAGGTCACCCTAGGACCTTGAAATGCTTCTTATGAAGCCACTCTTTCGCTGCCCTTGCAATGTGCTTGGGATCACTGTCATGCTGAAGAACCCCGCCACGTTTCATCTTCAGTGCCCTTGGTGATGGAAGGAGGTTTGCACTCAAAATCTCACGATACATGGCTCCATTCATTCTTTCATGTATATGGATCAGTCGCCCTGGTCCCTTTGCAGAGAAACAGCCCCAAAGCATCATGTTGCCACCCCCATGCTTCATAGTAGGTATGGTGTTCATTGGATGCAACTCAGCATTCTTTCTCCTCCAAACATGACGAGTTGTGTTTCTGCCAAACAGTTCTACTTTGGTTTCATCTGACCATATGACATTCTCTCAACACTCTTCTGCATCATCCAAATGCTCTCTAGCAAACTTCAGTTGGCCCCAGACATGTACTGACTTAAGCAGGGGGACCCATCTGGCATTGCAGGATCTGAGTCCCTTGAGGCGTAGTGTGTTACTGATGGTAGCCTTTGTTACATTGGTCCCAGCTCTCTGCAGGTGATTCACTAGGTATTTAGGTAGAACACTAACTTGGCAATACAATAGAGTCTCACTTATCCAACATAAACGGGCTGGCAGAACGTTGGATAAGCTAAAATGTTGGATAATAAGGAGGGATTAAAGAAAAGCCTATTAAACGTC